GCTGTATGCGTGTTTTGTATTGTCGGGTTTAATTGTATGTGCATGTGTGTTGTTGAGTTGGGAGTGTGTATATGGGACAGTGGTTTGTTATTTTGTTGTCTTTGTACGTGGTTGATGCTTCTTTTTTGTGGAAGCGGGAAAGGATGTGGATGCGAGTGAGGACGTGGTTGATAATGAAGATAAGGGAGTTAGTATGCGGGAATGGATACAGGGGAGGGAATGTTTGGGAAACAGGGTGTGCGTGAGGGTAATGTGTGACGGTGTGGGTAAGGGTTCGGATGTGATTGAACGGTTGTCAATGAGGGTTTGGATGTGTTTGAATGAGCGGGTGTGTTTGTGTGGTTGGCGTAAGCTGCTGTGAGTGAAGGCCTGGATGTGGGAATGGATGTGGTTGTGTGTATATAGGATGTTTGTATGGGGGATAATATTATGAATGTTATTTTCATAATTACTATTAAATATGGTGTGTACATATATAAAATATTTTTGTTTAAGAGTCTTTTAGTGTCTCGTAGGCCATTTCGGCAAGTCGCTGAGTTTTTACATTCTTGCCTTGTCATTTTATATGTACAGCGGTCGACACTATATTAAAATATTATTATTCTTCTCTATCAGTGTTCGTGAATGAAAATCGAACAACTTCACGATAGATAACGATACAACCACCTTGTAACAAAAATGAAATATTCATATTGTTATGTTACATTGTTTGCGGAATATGTTTTCTAATCATGCATACTCTAAGGCTTTAGGCGGAACTACGGTTACGGGCTGTATAACTGATTCAAAATACTTTAAAAAGCAAAGTCTGGAATGGAAATCGTCAGTTTGAAACTAGTGCCGCAAGGCTCAAGAAACCTGCTTTCGGAGTGCGGAGTGTCGGAAGAGGTATTCATGTATTCAAAAACAGAAGCCATCGCCAGTGATAGATTCTCTAAGTCGTCTATGACATCTTATTTAATTCCTTGAGCAGAGTACAAGAAGGTTTAATTTTACGTCTATTGTTTTCTTTATTTGTAAATCAACTGCATAAAGAAATGGACAGTGCTGGCACAGAGGTATTATATTTGCTCGGAGTTTTTTAAAAATGTTTTTATTGTTATATGCGGAAGACCTTTGTTTATTTCCTGACAGTTTAATTGTTCCACAAAGAAAAGTTACCTGTAACAACATCTTTGTCACAAATGGGGATTAAGTATTAAGTTTGAGAAGAAAGAAGTTTTAATAATTAGAAATGGTGGAAAACCTATTATAACTATTTGGGACAGTTTCTCTTCAAGTAAGCTGTCCTGGTCAAAATCAGTTCAAAATCTTGCACTGTCCTCTGTAAAAAAACTTGTTAACAGGGTTGAAAAAAATATCACCTGAAGTTCAATCAATGCCCAGATAAAACCAATTATTTTGTTTGCGTCTGAGATATGGGGATTCCAATAGTGGTCTGAAATTGAATAATTCTTAAATATTTCTTAGGTGTCAGTTATAATGTTGCTATCCTAGCTGAATGTGGATTGCATTATATTTGTGTTGATTCTTTGTTGAAAATGGGGGCGGTCGGGTAGCCTAGTGGTTAAAGCGTTCGCTCGTCACGCCGAAGACCCGGGTTCGATTCCCGACATGGGTACAAAGTGTGAACCCCATTTCTGGTGTCCCCCGCCGTGATATTGCTGGAATATTGCTAAAAGCGGCGTAAAACCATACTCAGTGAGTCAGTCAGTTGTTGAAAATGGTTAAATACTGGCTTAGACCAGAAAGCAGATACTAGTATTCAAAACAGATATTCAACCTAATAAGGTAGCTACATAGGACGCAAAACGTCTTATCATATTAGAACGATATTGTTTAGATATGGATATGGTTTTGTTTTGGAAGCTCGGGGGTTTGTTACAAAGAGACCTTTTTCTTTAAATAAGGATACAAAATTGCAAAGTGCTGCCTGTATTCTCGGATATTTCCAACTGTTCATGATTGGATATATATTCTAAAATTAAACATACCTGTTAAACATAACGTCAGGAGACGCATGGCGTAGAATTACTTTATTAGGGGGTTGCAAACTACCCATGGCCATTTACAAAACTATTGGTAGACGTGATGTTATTCCACGTCAGGGTCGTTTGTGTAAAATATGTAATAATTCAAACAACGTAGAAGATGACTTTCACTTTCTGTATATGTCCAGTATATCATGATCTTAAAATATCTACCTTCGCACATCAACAATAACTTCCTATTTCATTTCTTACAATGCAGTAATTAGTCTTGCTTATTGTCTTACTCGGATTATATTTGGGATGCTTTAATTTTACGCAGTTCCTTGCTTTCTGCCTCCTGGCATTCATTCACCTGATGTGTAAGTGAGTGAGTTAAAATTTAACGTCGCATTGCATTATTTCAGCCATATAGCGACGAGACCAAGCATTCACCAGATGAAGGAGTAATTAAGTATATACTCCGAAACGTTGTTTTCTTCATAATAAAGAAGTTGACATCCATAAATCACCTTCCTTAGAAGTTAGATGATTAGATGATAACCTAAACGTTGAGTGCAAAACCCGGAAACCAGCCATAAAATGAAAGCACGGCGTCCTGGGATAAAACAAACACACAACGATTTTCAAGTTTCACCACAATAATTTTAAACAGAGAACTGTGAATTCTTTACATTAACTCAGAAACACGTGTAACGTTTTGAGTATTGTCTATTACACGTAATGATACGTCCTTGTAACTGTCAGCATTAAGTGTTGCTAATTTGAAAACAAATGCAGCAAGCAGGAGAATGGTACTGTGCCAACGCCGGAAATTGCATGGGTTAAATACTGAATCATGTTTTAGGAACTTAAAACTATCGGTAGATCTACTGCTCGCAACATTGATAGATTAGTTTTACCATTATTGCCACACTGTAGTGAAATATGGAGTTATGAGAAATGTGACGTGATAGAACGTGCACACCTTAATGTTATGATTTGGAAATTCAATTGACATGACTTGTTACTTAATAATATGTAACACATACCTGTTCACTTGCATTAAACGCACAAAGTTTCTGTCATATTTAAAAAAAAATCCTCGTCAAATGGTCCACTGTAAAAATGGTCAACCTGGCTTAAAATTACCTACACAAAACAATACCTATGAAACCTACGATTTCACTGGAAATATATTGAACCAAAACAGTTAGGGATCCTGAATGTTTTGGGGACCCTTGAAGATCCGGGGTAGAATAGGTCTTCAGTAACCCATGCTTGCCGAAAAAGGCGAGTATGCTTCTCGTAAGAGGCGACTAACGGGATCGGGTGGTCAGGCTCGATGACTTGGTTAATGCATGTCATATCATCGATCCCAATTGCATGGATCGATGGTCATGATGTCAATCACTGGATTGTGTGGTCTAGACTCGATCATTTGCAGACCGCCGTCACATAGCTGGAATATTGCTGAGTGCGGCGTTAAACAACAAACAGAACAGAGAACAGGAAAGTAGTTGTGAAAATTGACCACACAAACTCATTTTCACATATTTCAAATTCATTCACATATACCCCAAAATATCCCTGATCCATACCCTTCTCGGTTCTGTATATATTGGCCCAAATTGTCATGAATCGTGAATAACTGTGTCCTTGTATGAATAGAAAAACATAGTTCTGTATTTTCTTAATAATATTAATTAATAGTAATAATTTATATTGGTTTCTGGTGTCATTTTGGCATTGATATATTACATCTGCATATATTTATTGCCGCTTACATATTATGTGTGCCACGTGTTGGAATGCTAATGAGGAAGATATTGTTACTATGTGCGCATATGGTCTGTCAAGGCATTATGGAGCCATATATATTTATATATACACCCGTGTAGCAAATGGACTCTGGAGTTTGATACCAAATGCTATCATGTGTTATTTGGTGTGTTTAGTGATGTGAGTGGCAATTTGAATTATAGAATTCACAAGGTTTGTTGTGAACGACACATTGTTGTTTTGAAAAAATGACCGTCGGTTAAAGGTGATGCACTTTAAATTCGTACAATTTTGGATTTTTTAAATGATTAAAAACCACACTGGAAATATATGCGATGATGAATTAAATATTAGTGATGCGTAACTAAGAGAGGAAATCCCTTATAATTTTGTTATAGATAAAACAAAGAATCGCGCTTTTTACAAGATAACACGTGTGTGTGTGTATATATATATATATATATACAGAGCTCCAGATAAGCTTTTGGTGTTGTGGGTATTTTACCCATGCAATTTAAAATCATTGGGTATCAGTAATTATATCTGGGTATTCAAATTTCTGTTACACACTAGTTTTTACACATGTGGGTATTTAAGTTAATTATTTAAAAACACTATTCTTCTAGTTCCTGCAAACTGGTGTCGTGTGGGTTCGAGAACTTTATAGGACTAAAAAATACCACGATACTTCCACAAGAAAGTGTGATGGCAAATGATCATGATGTAACTGTCATCGTGGAGTTTGGCAAGGTTGACGGAATGCCTGTTTATAATTTCAAAATAAGTTGCTGATTTGCTTATCGAATACGCAGGGTTACTTCACAATATTTTGATGATATGCACAAGGTTTTTATTGTAGCGTATCTGTAATGTTCGTTGCGTATTTGATACGCTTGGATTTTATTTTACTGCGTATTTCTGCATTTCTGATGCGTATTTCACGCAGATACGCAGCTTATCTGGAGCTCTGTATATATATATGCATGTGTGTCATTTCTCGACTTCTCATGTTAAGTGCTGTGCTATCGAGTATATGGCGATACTTTTTTTTAAAACAACAACTACAAATGTAAATAGCAAAACAAACTCAAACTTCAACTCCTAATATTAAGTGTGAATTAGCATCAACGAACCATCAGGACACCCAGTGCGATACACACCCGTTTCTGAATCCCAATTCGTTTGCTTTCCGCTCCAACGCTCTGTCTATTGATAGATGACCTCTTCATTATGCATACGCCCTAGGTCAGAGGTCACAGTCAGTACAAGCACATGGCACAGGGCCAGGACAAGTTCATCGTGGTATATATGTTTCTGTCAACCAGACTGTTGTAATTTTCTGATGACAAATGTGTGTCATACACTGATAATGAGACCGACATGGATGAGGCGACCAACAAACATTCACGGACGACTACGAACGCCGAAATAATCAGGTCGAATGGATTCTCTCCTGTCAGTGTGTCACACCGACCGTTACCACAAAAACCGCGTTCGCTTGTGCTCATAATGGTCTGCGATCCCTACTATTTTTAAATCAAAGATAAAATATCGCAGGTATATACATAAAAACGGTGGGAAGGACCGAGCTCAACCTGTGCAGCGTTTTGATTGGACTTTGACCTGCCGTATATTTACAGGCGAGGACACGAACACAGCATGTTTAAATAACATATCACCAGCCGACAGTCAATACTGACGCTGCACAACCTGACGCTACGAGTATTAGCAACTCAATTCACCCGTGAGTATATAATTGTCATAGTTTATTGTCCCGTTGATGGCGATTGCTTGTCTCAATGTTGAATATTTTCCGGATATGGAGCTCTTCAGTATTGAGGCGAGAAACTGAGTATTGATTTAACCGGACCTGACCTTCCTTAGCAGACGACTCGCTATGATTTCAAATGCCTCTCCCACCGCTCCACAACGTTCTCGCTATTGCTCCATGTATACAAAACCTCTCAGTATGATTACATATCATTTGAATCGTTATTACATGTACTGAGCGACTTAGGATTACTTAAAATGTAGGCCGACGCTGCGGTGTTGTAAGCGACAATACAGTATTTTCTTTTGAAAGGGAAAGGGTGCAACTTTGTTTCGGCAGTTCGTTTCACTGACCGTGTAACTTTGTCGCAAATATGTCCCCAAATGAGTAAGACCTTGTGGTATACGTTGAATTTAGTACACCCTAGCCTATTCTCTACTGGAATATTTCCGAATCTAGATCTAGATGCAGGTAGCAGAGGTACTGTGTGTCTCCATGGTTCCTAGTTTGGTGGCTTAACATTGGTTGCTGGTGATCTTTAAGGCATTTTTTTTAAGATATAATGTCATGAATAATCATAATTTATGGTTACATGCGAGTTTACAGTATGATGTATGATATTTATGTAATTTACTGTGCATTGTGTCCCGTATTGTTAATGTATAACTTGTTTTAGTAATTATAGAGCTGAAACATTGCCTCTGGGACTTTGAATTGATATTACTCACTCTTACATGCCTAATGGAGAAGTGTTTTGCCTTGCTTAAAATACAGTGAAGGGAGGAGAGGTGTTAACACACACACACACACACACACACACACACACACACACACACACACACACACACACACACACACACACACACACACAGAGGAATATTCCAGACAGACCAATACAAGTAGATTGAACATGACGAGGATGGTCGGATGTGTTGTATGGCAACAGCCTAATACATATATTTTACTCAACATGTTGACATTAGTTATAGTTAATCGAAAGAACATTTGTACTGAGGGATTCAAGTTCAACATTCTGTTAGTGAATGTCTGTTGAAGTGTGAATCTTTTTGATCACCATCATGACATAGTTAAATTGTAAAATTATTCGCCTGTAAATAATCGAGTATGCACCAGGGGACACCTGTATAATATAGTCGGAATCGTACAATGGACTTTCATTTGCCAACATGACCAACCATATAAGAATCCAGATACGATGCTTCACTTTCAGCAATTTCACTAGTGTAACCACTGGACCCTCTATTTTGTCGACTCTGACAACACACATGGGTGTTATGTGGATATGTTACGTTCCGGATAGATTTACGATTTACTACGTATGCAGTATGACTAAATGCCAGCCACATGTTTATGCAACCGGCAACACGTTTTACATTAATTCGCCTATTTCACATTGATAACTGAAGAAAAATGAATTATCCTATGGACCATATATTTCACATTGATCGATATTTCATCTGTGTTCACAACAAACCACCTGTCAAAACAGATGCATGTAGCTTATGATGTTGTTTTTGTGAACATACAATGTAATTGGTTCACAGAAAGTCACACCTTTCCTTGTCTTTTCCTTTTAAACTGTTGTACAGCTAAATAAAGTTTTGTGTCTGTCTGCAGGTGTTTGTATACTTGTATGGCTGTGTGTCTGCGTTTGTGTCTGAATGTGGCGTGTATGTGTATCTGTATCTATATATGTGTGTGTGTGTGCGTGTGCGCGCGTGCGTGCGTGCGTGCGTGCGTGTGTGTGTGTGTGTGTGAACACCTCTCCTCCCTTGGGACAGTAAGTTTAAGTTTGCACAGTATTTCAGTAATCTTCACGGCCAGTTACATTGCTGGGGACGTATATTCGTTCACGGAAGCCCCACGTGTTATGGTATGATACCCGGTATCCGTATCGTTAGCCTCGAATGAAGTTATGATCGGTATTTGGGTAAGCGTTATGTTAGTATAAGGGCACACGGGTGGCACAGTCGTCTAAGATGCCACAATTTCGCTTGCATATGCAGTTGCGTCCCGTAGTCGTGCAGGAATCCTATGATTCTATCGTCGACTTGACTGTGTTCCAGTTATTTAACCTTCTAATGGCAGAGAGTCAGCAACAATATCCCTGGTGTCCTATTTCCTGGTGTATGTTTTACATGGCATACATGTAGTTCCATAACCAAAGCCGTGTCTGCGTGTATTACCATGAAAGCTTGTATGCAAAGAGAATGTGGTTTGTGGAATTATTAACACATAAAGATAGTGATCATAAATATTCTTGGAAATATGTTGTTGCAGTCAAGCCCGAACACATAATTTTATAAAAATATCCCAAAACTATTCATGATCCCTAATATTTTTGTTCAGCATATAATACGTTTTTGGACGCGTTTTTTTCTCATTGTGGATCCAGTTAAGACGTTTGACTTTCACGTACCCTCGTTTTTCAAGTGTTCCTTAATTTTCAGCCTCACTGAAACCCCTGGGTTTATTAAGCTAGAATGTTTGGGATTCAAGCAATGTTATATCAAAAATATGCTCACATCATTGTCCGACTCAAACCATGACTGTCATTTTGAACTTGTAATTTACGGCAATAGCTCACCCATCTCTTCATGTATCATCTTCATCAATAAATGTGACCTACATGACTTATGTTGTGCGACATGACAGTGCCACGTTATATAGTCAGCGTTGTATTGTGTATTGGAATATTGCTAAGAGCGGGGTAAACCCAACTCCCTCAATCCAGTCTATATCTAAACGTTGTCTTTATTACCCTGTGTAAAGCTGAGCCATTGACTCTGTGTAATTCGGATAATGGCTTACAGTTAGATCACAAACTTAAGTCAGGAGCCAAATAGAATGGTATTTGAATTTCTTGGATCATAATTGCTGGGACGTCAAATTTTGCCCGAGTATTATTCTCCTTAATGTACATGAATAGCGCCACATGGTCGTTATGGTTAGCACCTTCTGTTTGCCATCCACACTGCCTGTCGACCAGGCACCATGGCATTTGATAATCATGCTGTGAGGATGAGAACAGAAAATGTTGCATAAAATCCTGACGGTCTCGTTCATTCATGTCGAAATACTGAAAAACTTTGCTAACATAAAAACCGGTGGATGTGATGCATTCAAAATAGGTGTATAAAGGTAGTGTACTTGAGCAACGTTATGTGATAACAACGTTAAAGGCGCCCCATAGGATAATTAACATACGAATCTTGAAATGGATACAAGACGTTTGTTTGTATTTCTCTGTAAGAACATACCACCATTATGTTGTAAAAAAACAATTAAAAAAAACCTATAATACAGGGTAAAAAAACTTTACTCTCGTGGTTTACAAACGAATTATTCGCTTGATGCTTAATGTGTTGAAGAATGTTTTGTGTAAAATGTACCTTGTTCGGTTCCTCCTTTTTGCAGTAATCGAAACTATATTCGGTCTTTTGGACAACATGTTATAAGTACAGTTTATCACAAAATGTTCCGCCCGCCGTAAACATCTCCTCAGAAACCACCGGACATATGAAGCTGGAATGTTTCAACTGAGAATGACACGTCGATGTCTTCAAGAGGTTCGAATCCGATTCTCTAAATGGACACTTTGTATTTATGGCTATTTATGGCCATTACTCGTCCCTTTTCGTTCAACATGTAGTGGTATATATGCGTTTAGTAAGTAGTGTAACTCAAGATTGTTCCGTTTTTCGCTATATTTCAAATTGTGACCTTGATGTGACATTTGCATTTTGACCATGTTCCAAACTTCTCTCCAGATCCATATCATTGTACTGTAAACGTCCTCGCCCCAGAAAGCACAGGACAAATGAAGATAAAACTGCACATGGTTGTTCCAACAAATAATAACACATCAATTTGTTTAAAAACCTCAAATCCATTTTTGTTTCAAAATGGCCGTCATTGCAACACTGTATATAAACCTATTTATGGCAATTACTCAGCAGAATGTAGTGGAATGTGGTAAATCTACGACTAGTCGCGGAACTCAACACGTGTCTTCCGTTATTTCCAATGTTTGTAGGGGTGGTTGGGTAGCCTAGTGGTTAAAGCGTTCGCTCGTCACGCCGAAGACCCGGGTTCGATTCCCGACATGGGTACAGGAATGGATTTGATCAATGAATATGTCATTATGAAACATTGTTTAGACGTATGAAATTTTAACTCACTCACCCAACTACGATGTTATTTCAATAATATAACATTTACACAACATTATACGTAGCACGATTATTTTTTGCCGCTAGTATATTTGCATATATCTCGGTATATGATAGACAACTTACCAGTTGTATTCTCAATCAATGTTATTATATACCAGTATGTTACTTTAGCAATTGTTTTTCTTCTGAGTATAGAGACGAGAAACACATTAATGTATGTTATGAGCTTTATTACAATCATACATAACTTCTCTGTAGAATTAATTGATGCCATGGAGTGACTGAAATATATCGATAGGAGGAATAGTAGTAGAACTGTGTTTTATTATTTCAAGTAGATTTAAATCCTGGTCTTTATTCCTTAAACAATTTTATTTTTTTACCTCTCGCAACTAGATACTAGTACCTCTGAATAAGCACGACTGATGCCCGAATAAATGGGTCGCAGGCCAAAAAGCTCATTACTTATTCACTGCCAAGACAACGTGGTCCTGTACTTTATAATGACATAGTTTCTGTGTAGACATTAAGGAATACTGAGTGGTCTTTATGGCCAGATGTACTTACACATGTAGAGTATGATCCATCATGGTACCTCGCGGTTCATGATGATACATGATGGCGTTGTCGAGTTCACAGAGAGTTTACCGTGAACGTCACCTTTTGCAACACACAAGAGATATATGTATCCTGCAAGTTAATGTGACCAAATTGGACTGACGATCATTCAAGTTGTCTTCTATTGAACGAAAGAACGACCCAATGAAGAACCGTGCT